ATTTCTGGGTTTTCATCATTCGGTTTGTGCAGAATGATGGCTTACATTATCGGAAAAAATGGGTGTATGCTCTTGAAGAAGAGGTTCTCAAGTTGAGGAATGAAGTTGAAGGGCAGTGCAAGAAGATTAGAAGCAAACCATGAATTCCTCATCAAGCAAATGCGTGAAGAACTGAAGACCAATTCTGAGGAGATCGTAAATCTGAAGGAGATTTGGCAGGTGTTGGCAAGATTTATGCTTATGGGAAACCAAATGTTTAGCTAAGATTTGTCAGGGGTCTTTGTTAAACCTATGAATTTGTTTAAAGTGATATGTTTTATGCATTTGTTTTCTAATGTAAGCCCTCCCTTTTTCAATCAATATGTTCTATGTATTTCTAATTAAAAACATATTGTTACTGCTTAGTTTGACATAGTTTTTCATAGTATTACTACTTAGTTTGACATAGTTATTTGTAGTAATACTAATATGAATCCAAATACAAAAGCAATTTAGTTTAACGTAGTTTTACCAGTAATACAAATCCTAACACAAAAGCAAGTTTCTTAAACATAGTTATACTAGTAATACGAATCCAAACACAAAAATAACTTAGTTGTACCTAGTTTTACAGGAATTCAAATTCAAAGCAACTTTGAAAAGCATAGTTAAACATAGTTTTACTCCAAGCCCCAACTCTTCATTTCGTCTTGTCTCCTCGCCTACGCTTTCTCCCAGCGGCCTGCAATCAAACATAGATTGATAACAACATCATGTTTAATAACACAAAACTCATGGTTTGGGAAGTAAAATATGGTTATCTTTGATGTCTCTCCTTTCACATTCACAAAAGATTCCAACAGTTCAACTCTTCCCACCAACTCATCAATCTTATCCTTGATAACATTCATCTTTTCTCCCATTTCTGTTTTCAGAGTGTTTATGAGCTCTGCCACTTCATTTACAGGCGTGTTTCCACGTAATTCACTGGGGACATTCTCGAGTATGGGTCCTAGTCGTGAAGCAACATCTTCATTATTCATCTCTGCAATCCATATGGTATATCCTTCATGAAGACGCTGCATCCAACTGTTGACAACAATATCATGTTTATCATCATCGTCGTCTTCTTCTTCGGTGAGTCTAGCCAGAAGATCATTTTCTTATGGAGTAGCTACCACCAAGCTTTCAATATCCTGAAAATGTAAACAATTAATTCTAAACATTAACAACATAACAAACATATGCAAAGGATAACTAACCTTGATTGCACCAAGTTTTTCATATATTTTCGAAAGAGGAAATCCTTTCAATTTTATTTTCTTAAACTTTGACCTGTACATCCTAAGACAACCCATATTTGCACTGGAAATTCTTCTTGGAAAATACTCCATAGTTCTAGAATTGCCTCGAATGCCAAAAGCTACACAACACATATATAGTTAAAGTTATCTTCAATTATAATAGATAATACAAATCTCAAATGGATCAAATACGTCAAATTAATTTGTACTTACCTCTAAAGGAATACAAAAACCTGGAATCGGCCAGGTTACACCTTCTTTGATTACACCCCCAAAATGAGTTATCGTGTGCAATATCTCCTTCACCATATAGTCATATAACAATCTCCCCCAAGGAAAGCTCTTACATAACTTGAGATCATCCACCACAATTCGAAAGAATTCCAAAACGGGCGTAGCATCTACTCCAGTCTTTGTCTGCCCTACGACAATGCTGGATAAGAAGAACAAGACCAATATCTTCAACCTATCTACGACAATGAGACACTATTGCTCTTTTCCCAAAATGCTTGTTCACAAATTTCTTATCCACGACTTTTCTCCCTTGCATATAATCTAGTGGATTGTTATGGCAGTCAAATCCTGATATCAAGGCATGTTCCCTTAGACCATAGCGGATAGGAACACCATTAACAACGAACCAAACTTTTTTTTGCTTTTCGATGCATGCTGTTCGAAGCAAGAACATCCACATGCCCATAAGTTTGTGGTTCTTGTCCTTGGGCATATGGAAAATGTGTTTGAACTGCAGATATTTCTCAAACCATCTCAACTCAACACTACTCAGTGGATGCTTCAACCCGTTTATTGTATTCAAGAATTCAAAGATATAACACCTTGTCGATATCTTAATTTTCTTGACATATTCCGTTGGTGGGAAGTACATCCTCATAGGGCGTAGAGATGTCGTTTCATCTTCAGAATCTTGCAGCAATAATTTAGTTCTACCAAGTTATGCTAGTTTAACATATCAATTTCTCTTAGTCTTCTCTAGTGTTAACTAGTTCTACCAGAATTACTAATAAACTCACCATAGTTTTACCTAGTTCTACCAGAATTACTAATAAATTTACCATAGTGTTACCTAATTATACATAGTAAATATTTAACTATGTAATCAAAATTATATTTTTAAGAAAAACTAAAACTAAGACAAATAAATAGTATGATATTATCAAAGTTCTTCTATAAAATCATTAAAAAAATCTTTACAACATTTTCATAAAATCAAAAATCAAAACTTACAAGTAAATATTTAATTATATAATCAAAATTATATTTTTAAGATAAATTAAAATTAAGACAAATAGATAGTAGTATGTTATATTAAAGTTCTTATTTAAAACCATTAAAACATTTAGTACAACATATCCATAAAGCCAAAAATTAAAACTAACAAGCAAATATTCAAATAATCAAAATTATTTTATTTTAAAAAAACAATGTATAACTAGTACAAATGGTGCAACTAGGATGTTGGGATGTTATGACATAATTTACACAACATTATAACATCACAATTTTTATTTAGTTCTACCAATATTACTTCAAAAATTCACATAGTTTTATCTAGTTCTGCCACTACTAAAATATAAACTCCGCCTAGTTGTACTTAGTTGTAATAGTTTTGCTAATATAATCAGATATACTTACCATTGAGACCACATCCTCGTCCATGCATGGCGTATGAATTTCCATGGTCTCCTTCACCCTCTTCTTCATCCGCATCCTTCTCTGATTCTTTGTCTTCTTCTTCGTCTCCTTCGTCTCCTTCTTTGTCTTTCTCTCCTTCTTTGTCTTTCTCTCCTTCTTCGTTTTTCTCTCCTTCCTCTTCTTCGTCATCTCCTTCATCCTTGTCTGATTTCTCACCATCTCCTCCTTCCTCCTCATCTTCTTCTTCCTTGTCTGAATTTTCTAGATCTCTTCCTTCTTCCTCAACTTCTTCTTCTTTTTCTTACTTATCTAGGTCTTCTTTTTCTTCTTCACTTATCGGAACTTGCTCTTCAATTTCTTCCTCCGTTCGTGATGCTTCAACCGTTGGAGGAGGCGGATCGGAACAGCTCTCGCCCTTGGTTTTTGGAGCCCCAATCCTCTTCTTCTTCTTTGTCCATCTTGTTCTAGTCATTTTTCTTGATCGATAATAGTTTTGGGAGGATTAGATCTGTAGTTATCCCAAGTTTGACAATGAGAGAATCGAAGATCGGAAAATAGATAAAGAGGAATCGTTAGGGTTTTGACCGATTTGGGGGATTTAGGAGTATTAAAAAAAATTAGAATTTTGGGTCAAGTTTTTCGGGTTACGTCAGATATCACTGGACAGGCGGGTTTTACCCAGGTATAAGTTGTAATTTTTTTGAATTAGAATGTGTTTGTGGGTAATTTGCCTATTTTCAATATTAAAAATAATTACATTGAAAATTCCTAAAAATAGAGAGAGATATCGGAGGGGTAAATTAGATGATTTCCCTTCTTAGCCTCTTTCAGACATTAAAAGTAAGACTCTCATCACTTTCTCTTCAGTTTACTTTTGGCCCATTTATATACACAATAAAATCTCTTGACTTGCGATCTTCTTTTCCTTCTTTCACTTTCTCTTTTTACAGTTTTCTTTTTGTCAATGAACAACTAATATTTAAAAAATCATAGGTATACTCTGTCGACTGACTTGAGCCATCTATATAGTACTCTATATACTATCTTTTGAAATTTTCGACATTGTAGTAGTAGTCAATGTGGTAATAATGGGTCTTGAATTATATCTGCATAGGTGGTTAGGTTTCTTGAAAGATATACATTGAATCAACGGTTCTGTCCATTGCTTAATAGTTCCTTGACTAGACCAAATTCTTGGTTCATTCTTTTAAGGATTTGTATTGTAATCATACTTGTGGATTAGATAGAAGTTGGTGCCATATAGTAGACTGGGGAATTTAGGAAGATTTTTAGCTTTACTTGTCTCCATGGTTTCTTTCTGCCATCGCCACGCTTCTGTCTCCTTAGTTTCTTAGTCCCTCTATTTGTCCCATAGAGTTTCGTTTTGTTCTGAATCATTTCTTTAATGCAAGAAATTATACTAAATGTTTTTAAATTGTTTGCTTACCTTGCGACAGGCAATGCGCCAAGAAGTAGGAGAATAAGAAGTAAAAAGACTGCAAAAGCTGTTGCGGAACTTCCATGTCTTACTATGTTTTGGCGGCCAATTTTTTTCCTCCCTCATTTGATTTTTCACTTTCATGTTATTCCCTAAAAACTTGATAAGTTTTGATTATTTTTGAATTTATGTATGCAAAGTATATTGTCCTCAAGAATTAAGCTATTTAAGATCTAAATCCGAGATGAAGCGCAAGACATTCAAAACTAGGTTTAGTGTGCTATTAGTAATATTCCTCAAACCCAACTTGCAGCTTTAATTCGGATCTCGCAATCAAAGAAATCCCAACTTGTGTTTATTAAAAACGAAATAAATAATAAGAAAACTTCTGATAAAATTCCTCATCCACAAATCCTACATTTAGGCTTTGATGTTGATATATTAGGCTCAATCACAAGTCGAGAGAGACGAGATTAGATTTGTGAATCTCACGTCAGTTCCTCATCTATATAAGTAACTAAAGACAAAGAAAAGAAAACCAAACCCCAAGGGTATTTTCGTAATCACAGAATAAAACCCTCACAACGAGTATTTATATTTTAAAAAAAGAATTCTCAGGTGGGAATTCTTCTCAGGTTCAAAAGTCTCTCTGTGGTTTTGTTTCCTCTTTCTCCTTCAAAGTAAAAACTACAATGGCAGCGGCAACAACAACATCTTCTTCGATCTCCTTCTCCAAAAAACCTTGTCATCTCTCATCTTTCAAATCTCCATTACCCATTTCCAGATTCTGCCTTCCATTTTCCCTAAATCCCCACAAACCCTCCTCCCGTCGCCGCCGTCCTCTCTCCTGCTCCGCCGTTCTCAACCCACCCGTCAATGTCTCCTCCGCATCTACTTATCCGGCGAAACCCATCACTAACCCTAAATTCGCCTCCCGATACGCTCCCGACGAGCCTCGCAAGGGCGCCGATATCCTCGTGGAAGCCCTCGAGCGTCAAGGCGTCGATGTCGTCTTCGCATACCCAGGAGGCGCATCAATGGAGATCCACCAAGCCTTAACTCAATCCTCCACAATCCGCAACGTCCTTCCTCGTCACGAGCAAGGAGGAATCTTCGCCGCCGAGGGCTACGGGACTGTGTACGCTAATTACTCTGTTGAACATAGTGATCTGTTGCTTGCTTTTGGTGTTAGGTTTGATGATCGTGTCACTGGAAAGCTCGAGGCTTTTGCCAGCAGGGCTAAGATTGTTCACATAGATATTGACTCGGCTGAGATTGGGAAGAACAAGACGCCTCATGTGTCTGTGTGTGGAGATGTTAAGCTCGCTTTGCAAGGGAAGAACAAGGTTCTTGAGAACAGAGCAGAGGAGCTCAAGCTTGATTTCGGAGTTTGGAGGAGTGAGTTAAACGAACAGAAACAGAAGTTCCCGTTGAGCTTCAAGACGTTCGGTGAAGCTATTCCTCCACAGTACGCGATTCAAGTCCTCGACGAGCTAACAGATGGAAAGGCGATTATCAGCACTGGTGTTGGTCAACATCAAATGTGGGCTGCGCAGTTTTACAAGTACAGGAAACCAAGACAGTGGCTATCATCAGGAGGACTCGGAGCTATGGGTTTTGGACTTCCTGCTGCGATTGGAGCCTCCGTTGCGAACCCTGATGCAATCGTCGTTGACATTGATGGAGATGGAAGCTTCATAATGAACGTGCAAGAGCTGGCCACAGCCCGTGTAGAGAATCTTCCGGTGAAGGTACTTTTGCTAAACAACCAGCATCTTGGCATGGTTATGCAATGCGAAGATCGGTTCTACAAAGCTAACAGAGCTCACTCGTATCTCGGGGACCCGGCTAATGAGAACGAGATATTCCCCAACATGCTGAAGTTTGCAGAAGCTTGCGGAGTTCCTGCTGCGAGAGTGACGAGGAAAGAACACCTCAGAGAGGCTATTCAGACAATGTTGGATACGCCAGGACCGTACTTGTTGGATGTGATTTGTCCGCACCAAGAACATGTGTTACCGATGATCCCAAGTGGTGGTACTTTCAATGATGTCATAACGGAAGGAGATGGTCGAACAAAATACTAAGAGATGGAACCTATTGAAGGTTATCATCAAAGATGATTAAGCTCAGAATCAAAACGATAGAGAAAAAAATTAAGAAAGAAAGAATATCATTATCTTTGTTAATCTGTACAATTAGTTCATCACTCTCTTATATACAAATTACAGTAAACCAACTCTAGTCAGCTTTAATTAAACCAAACATAACCGGAATAAACCAAGTATCCTAATACCCCCTCTCAAGTCTTTAGCTTCGTACAATTTGACGGTAAAGACTTGATATAGACATCCTGTAGGAACATGTAATGCTTTGAGACGTCCAGTTTTGATTTGATCTCGAACCATGTTTCGTCCTTTCATGAAACACAGGGTTTGTAGCTATATGAATTGCAGACTTGTTATCACAAAATAACTTGGCTGCACAAGTCATCTTGATATGTAGATCCCGAAGTAATTGCTGAATCCATATAATCTCACATGTTACCAAAGCCAAACTTCGATACTCTGCCTCGGTGCTACTTCTACGAACCATTGACTTCTTTTTGGATTTCCACGAAATCAAAGAGGTACCAAGTTAAACACAAATAACCAGTAATAAATCTTCAAGTTTTGATAACACTTAATTTTGACCACTTTTCACCATTAATTTCAAATGCTTTTTCAAAGGTTTTACTTTGTTTTAGGAACTTTTATTATGATTTCCATGTATTTATAGTTTCAATGCTCTTTTCAGGAAACTTAGGGAATATGATGGCAAAATGGAAGAAATCCACATTTTTAGCTCAGAGTCAGACCGTCAGAAGTTCAGCCTCAAATGAAGACTTTCTCACAGTCCGATCCAGCTTAAATTTGGAGACAATCAAGAGGAGACAACCAGCTTTCTATAGCACTTTACATCACAAAGATCCAACGGTGCAATCAAAAGATACATGTAGAACAAGTTGACTCAGTTCAGCAGTCCCGGAAGACTCTCACCCACGAGAAACACATGTTTTACCTGCCCTGGAAGACTCTCACCCCCGGTGGACCTTAAGACGAGCCACAAGGCCCAACATCAAAGCCCACTTCGCCATTTCTCTTCAGAGAAGCCCTAAATGAGATCTGGAAGACCTTAGGGCATCTCCAACCCTACTCCATTTTTTCCTCCAAATGCCATTTTGGAGGAAATTCTTTTCCAACCCTACTCAATTTTCACCTGCAAAATGGAGGAATGCCATTTTTTCCTCCAAATATGGAGTAATTCCATTTTCAACTCCATTTTGCAGGTGAACTTTTTTATTTACAAAAAAGTTCTTTATTTTTCATTAATTCTTAAAACTATATTTTTTATTTATAATTTGATCCTTTATATTATATATATTTAATTTAAAATTAAAGATAAATAGATTTAAAATTTGAGAAAAAAATAAAAAATATAAGAAGATTAACTGAAACTAGAAATAATATAAAATTAAAAATACATAAGAAATACCTAAAATTAAAATGTACTTTATTTTATTATTTTAAATGGCGTGTAGTATTATTTGTATATTATAATAGTTGAATTTAAAATAATATTATAATTTATAGAAGTTTTAACTGAAAAAAAATAAATGGGTTCATTTGTAATTTTTATAAATAAAGTGCATTATTAGTAATTAACAATAAAATAAAAATAAAGAATATACTAAGAATATTCTTTTGGAGTTGGAAATGGAGGAATACAATGGAGAGAAATCCAACTTCATTTTGCAGTTCCTCCATTTTGGAGATAAAAATGGAGGAATACATTGGAGATGGTCTTAGGACCTATAAATACATTGTTTAGCAGCTCTAAACGGGTGTGTGCTCCTGTAATGAGATTTTGAGCCATCAAACTTTGTTTTTCTAGGGTTAGGCGATGGAGATGGGGATTCTGCCCCAGATCCATTGTTCTTTCTCTTTTTTATCTTATTAACTTTTCTGTTTCATTCTTTTGCATTCTTATATGTCTTTCATCATTCATTGCATCATGTAGATTAGTCTCAAAGAGTCAAGTTGTTTGAAGATATCGATAAGCATATATATCGATTAAGATTTCTATTGCTCTTAGCCATATTCTGGATCCCATCTCTTCTAAGTTATTCGTAAAGCATGAAAGTAGATTCATGACTTATTCTCTGAGCCTATGATCGATCAGAGCCACAAGAGTGCTGTATCAGAACTTCCATATCTAGCTTCAGAAGAACATAGTCGCTATAGGAGTCGAGAGCTACCTATAGAGAAGATGTGAGCAGATGAATTCAATGTCCAATGCATGATCTTAAGTTTAGCATGAGAGCGAGAGTTAATTGCTAGATCTAAGAGATTAGTTGATTAAGGTGACAATAGTTGGTTAATCAAACATATGTCTATTCTAGTTCAATGCAGATTCCCAGAAACAGATGAAGATAAATCGCCCGGAAGCTAATTGGAAATGCCATCATACATCGATTAGAGTAAACCGGAGAAGTCTAAATCGCCACCTATGAGTTTAAGAGTCTTTAGTTTGAGTCGATATGCTTTAGATGTTCTTTTTAACAATTCATCCTGCCTTGCTTTTTTTGTGAATACTATATTAGGTTTAATTTAGGATCTTAACGAAAAACCCCAAATCTTTTATTGGTTTATGAGTTTGCTTACTTCCCAGTTTGTTGTTTCTCGCAGATTAGACATCCTCCCTGTGGATCGACACCCTAAGTCCTACAACGTACATCTGTGCACTTGCAGACACTAGGGTTTTATAAATTTAAAACTTAAGGAGGACCAACCGGCTTGTTAAAAAACAACCCTAGGCCCGCAAGCCCATCAAGTTTCCTTACAAGTTGCCCAGCCAGCATCAGAAAATGCATTCAAACAGAGCTCAGAATCAGAGGCATACATCAAACCTTGTCCTTGGATAATTTTGATGTATCGTAGAACCTTATGTGCAGCTTGAAGATGAACATCAGTCGGGGATGACAAAAACTGACTCAATTGGTGCACAGCAAAGGTTATATCAGGTCGGCTTATAGTAAGATATAATAACCGACCAATGAGCTCTCTATAAGAAGTTGGATTAGGCAAAAGATTTCCTAGATCTTTCGTAAGATGTAATGAAGGATCCATCGGAACTGAGCTTGGTTTGCAACCTAATAATCTAGCGTCTTCCAACAGGTTCAAGGCATATTTACGCTGACAAAATGAGATACCAGCTGAGGAACGAGCAATTTCTAATCCCAAAAAGAACCTAGCTGGTCCTAGATCCTTTATCTGAAACTCAGACCTCAACAATTTCTTCAATTCCTCAACAGTCTCATCATTATTACTGGCTATCATAATGTCGTCTACATAGACTAACACAGCAATAAAGGAAGAAGATAAGACCTTAACAAAGAGTGTATTGTCAGCAGGTGACTGGATGTAGTTTGCTCCCAACAAAACCGAAGAAAATCTTTTGTACCACTAACGTGAAGCTTGTTTGAGCCCATACAGAGACTTCACGAGACGACAAGCTGGATTTGGGGGAAGAGGCTTGTCCGAGGCTGGTGTGTAACCCTGAGGAAGACTCATGTAGATCTCCTCGTCCAAATCACCGTGCAAGAAGGCATTAGACACATCCATTTGAGTCAAACTCCAACCCTGAACAGTAGCAAGACTCAACAAAAAATTCACACTGGTTAGCTTTACAACCGGGGAAAAGGTATCCATATAATCTATCCCTTCTTGTTGTGTAAAACCCTGAGCCACTAAGCGTGCTTTGTAACGCTCCACTGATCCATCTGTGTTGTACTTAATGGTGAAAACCCATTTACAACCTACCGCATTCTTTCCTAGTGGTAAGGATTTAATATTCCAAGTTCCCTTATCTTCCAACGCATGAAGCTCCACATTTACAGCCTTATTCCATTTATCAAATGCCATGGCTTGTTTAAAGGTTTTCGGCTCTGTTTCTAAGGTATAAGCAAGGATATAGGATTGAATGGTGGGATTAAACTTATCATACGATATAACAGAAGAAATAGGATATGGAGTAGTATTATGTGAAGTGGTAGAAGGAGAAGAAAGAGAGACCAAATTGCAATGATACTCAGTCAGATAACTTAGAGCCCTAATAGTTTGTGTAGGATTGGCATTGTTCACAGAACTAATATCTATCTCTGGTGTAACCGGAATAGATGAATGAGTACTAAGATGCTCATGAGATGCATTTTCTATATCTATCGATGACAATGATGGTGGCAAATCAAGAGGCATACACTCAACAAAATGCAATGGTGCAGGAAGATGTAAGATAGTATTAGGAAACATATCCACAGAATTATAAACGAGCTCACTTGTTTTAAAAGGAAACTTGTCTTCATAGAAGACAACATTACGAGAAATTGCAACAGAATGAGATTCCAAATTTAAAACCTTGTAACCTTTATAACCAGAGGGATACCCTAAAAACACACAAGGTCTAGCCCTAGGAGAGAACTTATGACGGTCCTTCTGCAATATTGAGACATAGCACAAACAACCAAAACTCTTTAACAAAGAATAATCAGGTTTCTTATTCAACATCAATTCAAGTGGAGTTGGTTACTAGCAAAGGAGAAGGAATGTGGTTAATCAGGTAAACTGCTGTTAAAACACAATCACTCCAATATTGTAGAGGCACATTAGACTGAAATAATAAAGACCAAGCAACATTAAGCAAGTGTTGATGCTTCCTCTTAACAACAGAGTTTTGTTGTGGAGTATAAGCACAAGAAAAGTGGTGAATCATACCACGGTCTTTAATCAGTTCAGTGAAAGCTAATTCAGGAGCATTATCAGATCGAATAGCTTTAACTTTGGTGCCAAATTGAGTTTCAACAAGCTTAAGAAAAGTTGGAAACACAGAGGAAACATCACTTTTATTTCTTAACATGTACAACCAAGTAACCCTTGTACAATCATCAACCAAAGTAAAGAAATATATAAACCCTTCGACAGACTCAACACTAAAAGGACCCCATACATCAATATGGACTAAATCAAATGGCTTAGAAGCCATATTATTATGAGAAATGAAGGCTAATCGTTTCTGTTTTGCCAAAGGACATACAAGACAATGGACTTTTTCTAATGAAACATTCTTAAAACCAGATAACAAAGAAGAAATCTTATGCAATGCAGCTGCTGATGGATGCCCTAAACGTTGGTGCCAAAGATT